GCCGAGCCGGGCGCCGCTCTGCCGCGCCACGGCTGGGCAGCTCCTCCTCCTCCTCCTCCTCCTCCTCCTCCTCCTCCTCCTCCTCCTCCTCCTCCTCCTGGGGCCCGAAGCCACCCAAGCGGCGGTCGCCGCGCAGGCGGACGAGTTGGCTTGCAGGGCGCGCCGGCGGGGGCGGCCCGGGCGGGCGGCTGGTAGGCCGGGCTACGCCGGGCCTCATGTGGTCGTCGCGCTGCTCGTGGTGTTCAGTGTGTCCGCTCGGGCGAGCGGGCGTAGACCGCCCGTCGCTACGCCAGGGGGAGGGGAAGTGGAGTTGGAACTGGTGAGTTCGCGAAGCGACACGAATCAATTAAGGTGGGATGAGGCCTCTGGCTCGTTGCTCCGACAACGAAGAGGACCTTCGGGCTAGAGCCCAGCTCCAATCCTGTTGAAATAGTCCCTGCGATTCGTTTTTACTTTCCCCGTGCTCTCTTTCCCAAGGTTTAGAACCTGCTGGGAGGAGAAGTATCCGCATGCTCCACAAAACCAGAGCTCTAGTTTGGAATGAAACCTGAGTCGGTGTGTGGAGTGCAACCCTCCCCCGCACAGTGGACTTGAAACCCATTTGGGACTCTACTAAGCACCCCGTCAATAGAAACTAACTCACTACAGGGCGACTGGAGCCACTCCTTCGTTTTATCCTTGGACGCGGACCTACGACACACGGAACAAGAGCGGCGATCTTCTCTGAGCGTGTGTTCCGTGCAGAATCTAGCAAAACTGGCTGGGGCGGGCGGAACGAGGCGTAGCCTTTTTCTGATCGCCCTCCTCGGACGCGGGTCGACCACCAGGCAGTCCAGAGTTCATGGTGGCGCGCAACAGCCTGCGCCGAACAACTCCAGCTCTCTGCTCGTGCCTTCCCACTAGTACTCGGTCTGCCTGCGGAACTCTCGCATCTCTGGCCGCCCTCCCAGCCAACTCGTCTGCTCGCTCGTTGTCTCGATGCATCCACGGAGCCGCTCCTTTCTCAGGAGCTTCAGGCAGCGACATGTGCGAATTCATTCGATGAGCTACAGCCGCTCCTGGGCCACGTCCTTCATGCACGGTACGTCCGATCCGCTACCACAGGTCCATTTCGCTATCCGCTTCTCTGGGATGCAAATACACCTGTGATAAGGGCCTTTTCTGAACAGCTTCGTCGTCGGTGACATACACCAGCGGGCCCCTTAGTTCGGCGCATCATGTACTCAAACACTTCTACTTCACCAGGCTGAACTGCCTGCTTCCTGCCTGGCAACGGGCATTGTCCACCCATTCCAAGCCTTACTGGGTCCCGTTGTTCAACGAAAGTGAAACCCATGCCCACTCTTCTGAACTTCGGATTGTGCGTATCTGCTCCCCCTGTCGCATCACCACATTCAAGGGTTGGCTCCCCTGCCGTGGCTTCTGTCAGTGGGACATTTCCATCATCGATAAATTCAGGATTGGTGAAAACCATTTCTCCTCTGCTTCTGGAGCTGGGACTGCCACCCACCGCTTGTGGAGGAGCCCTCTATGCCAGAATCATTCAGACTGCGCATGCTGGGTCATCGTTTTTGCTGCGTACTTGTCCGATTCACTGTATGCTCGATGCCCATTGTTCTGTGGACACGACCAACACCTGTGAAACGGAATCGCCAGATGGCGTTCCCCTTGGGCCAAACATCGCACACACACGCACACAGCTGTCGCTTCTCGTCGATCTCCTCAACGCGTGCGCGTTTCCAAGCACCGCCAACCGCCACTGCCAGCATCGGCTCAACCCAAGCTGTACCCTTGGGCGTCTCCCGAAAACGTCGGAGCATCGCTCGATATGAAGCGTTCTCCACTCCACTCGCCATGCCTTCACCTGCATAGTGAGCGGTTGACTCTCGCCAGAGCTGGTTCTGAATGGGATCGGTGTAATCCTCGAGAATCTCGGAGAGCTTCATTCCCAGTCAGTTGCTCACCAGAAAATTGCCACTCGATGTTGGGCGCCTCGGGATCTGTCGCATCTTGCCACTGCCAATTGGATGGGCTGTGCGGTTGCGCGCCAGGAGGAAGGAGGAGGCATCCGAAGAGCGACAGAGGCCGAAGGAGAGTAATACTGATAACATTAAACATGATTAGAAGATGAAAGAGGGACGATGAGAGAGACTCGGGATGAGAGAGGATGGATCAGGATGTCCGAAGAAGATGGCCATAACGACGGCATCAGGAGGAGGATAATCAGGACGAGGCTAATGCGGGGGGAGGACAAAACCAGGGGGGAGAATCGGTGGCGAGGGAAGGGGGCGTGCTTCATTGCGTGCCTGCGTGCTTGCGTGCGTGCGTGCGTGCGTGCGTGCGTGCGTGCGTGCGTGCGTGCGTGCGTGCGTGCGTGCGTGCGTGTGTGTGTGTGTGTGTGTGTGTGTGGTGTGTGTGTGTGTGCGTGTGCGTGCGTGTGCGTGTGCGTGTGCGTGTGCGTGTGCGTGTGCGTGTGCGTGTGCGTGTGCGTGTGCGTGTGCGTGTGCGTGTGCGTGTGCGTGTGCGTGTGCGTGCTGTGTGTGTGGCCCCGTGTGCGTGTGTTGTGTGATGTACGCGTGTGTGTGTGTGTGAGTGTGTGTGTGTGTGAGTGTGTGAGTGTGTGTATTGTGTGTACGTGTGCGCGTGTGCGTGTGCATGTGTGCGTGTGCACGTACAAGGAGGCCGCGCCAGACGTCTGTGCGGTTGCCGTGTCCAAGTTCTCGAGCTGTCTCTGCCATCCGTCCTGGGTGGCCTCCGTGGCCGCGTCCCCGCTGCGCCTCGCTTTGTTGCTTCGGCGCAGCAGCGTCGCGCTGCCTCTTCTTCCCCCTGTTCTCCTCCTCCTCCTCCTCTTCCTTCTCCTCCTCCTCCTCCCCCTCCTCCTCCTCCTCCACCTCCTCCTCCTCCTCCTCCTCCGCCTCCGCCTCCGCCTCCTCCTCCTCCTCCTCGTCCTCCTCCTCCTCCTCCTCCTCCTCCTCCCCCTTCCTTCCCCTCACGGCTGCGCCCCCATGGGTGGCGTTGTCGATCCCCTTTGGGAGGATGCAGTTTGCTCTCGCTGCGTGAGCCGGGCCGGTCCGCGCTCGCTCGAACTGTTCTACGCCGCCGCGCCGCCGCGCGCGCAACCGCGACGCCAAAACAAATGCGCGCTGGCGCGTGCCATCCTCGGGCCAAGGACCCTTGGGAACCGTCGCCAAGAGACCCAAAAATGGGCCGTTGCGCGAGGACGGCTCTGCGACAGCAGCGGTCCTGCTGCCAGGGGTGCGTCCAGACTGATCCACCCGTCTCGTCAGCTCTGCACCCTTTTCCCAGTGGCCAGCCCCCGCGAGGGCGCACTCTCCAGGATCGTCTGCGTCGTCGCTGCCCTTTCTGACCGGCGCGGGGCCCTAGGGGGTGCGCCCTGAGGCGTGCCCCGGTCCCCCGGCAGGCCACGCGAGGGCAGGCGATAGCCTGGCACAGGGCTGGTGGAGGCCCGTCAGGGCGTGTCAGTTTCCACCCCCCCCCCCGCCCCCCGCTCGTCGGTGGCCACTGCTGCCCACCGCCATGTAAGTCTCCCCCTTCGCTCGTCGCGCCGTGTTCCTTGCCAGCCGCCGTTGCTCGTTGCGGTCGCTTCCTCTTCGTTTGCCGCGCCTGCTGCTTTTCTCCCATCTAGTGTTCTCTCTCTCTCTCTGCCTCCAGCGTCGCGCGCAAGGGGGAACCTGGAGGCCCGCGGGGACGCTGGCGCGTTCCCCCCCCCCCTCTTCCCCGCCGCGCCACTGAACTGCTTCCTCTGTCCCATCTCCTGGCCCCTTCGGCTTCCTCGTGTGCGCCTTCCCCCCAGCTCAGTCGTCCCGTCGCCTCGCCCTCTTCCTCATTGCCTCATCTCCCTCTTTCCTTCGCCCTTCGGCCTCCTCTCACTCCCCCCCTCCCCCTCCCCCTCCCGCTCCCGCTCTCTCCCTCTTCCTCTCTCCTTCCCGTGTGCTCGTCTCGTTCCGTGACCTCTCCCTCTCTCCCTCCTCGCCCCTGCGGCCGTCCAGCCCCGGCGGTTGGCCTCGGCCGGTCGCCTCCCCCCCCTTGTTCCTGCCTGCCCGTTTTGCTGTCTCTCGCTCCGTCCTGCGTCGTCGTCTGATATCGCCGTCCTTTCGTCTCCTCCTCCTCCTCCTCCTCCTCCTCCTCCTCCTCCTCCTCCTCCTCCTCCTCTCCTTTCTCCTCCTCCTACTCCTACTCCGCCCTACCCTTCTCCCTCTCCCGCCTCCTCTTTCTTCGCCCCTTTCTGCTGCCTCCTCCTCCTCCTCCTCCGCGCCTGTTCTCCTCGGCCTCATGTCCCCTGCGAGTCCTCGGTCTGTGTTTCCCTCTCGTGCTGTGTGCTTAATCCGCGCGCGTTCTGTGTCCGCAGGTCGCCGGGCGCGTGGCCACCGACGCACAAAAAACACGCTTGCGCAGAGCAACGAGTTTGCGTGTATGCGTGTATGTGTGTGTGTGTGTTGGTGGTGGAGGCGGGGGCGGGAGGAGGGAGAAGGCACGTGGGGGGATGAATCAGGAGAACCGATGAGTGAATCCACCGTGCTCATCGCCCACTGTCACTGCGAACCACTCAGAGTAATTATGGGTGATCTGTGCGGTGGATGGAAGAGGAGGCGGATGAGGATGATGAAGAAACGTCGGATGATGAAGTACGAGGGGGGGGGGGGAAAGAGGGTGAAAGCGAGGACGTCGCGGCGGAACGTGGAAGGAATTGAAGCAGGAGGGTTGGCAGCAACAGGCCTGAGGAGGAGGGGGCGAGAATGAACAGGAGGAGGAGGAGGAGGAGGGAGTTGAGAGCGAGAGGCGCAGTAGGAAGTTGGGTGGGAGGGAGGGACGACGACGAAGACTGATGATGTGGGTTGAGCAAGGGGGACGGGGGACGAGGTTGCCAGGAGGAGGGAGGAGTGATGAGTGAGCGTGGAAGCGCCGGGATGGATGAGGTATGAGCGAGGATGCGAGGAGACAGTGTGGAAGGGAAGAACATACATGTGTACACACATGTATTCTAATACACATATATGTATATATGAGGAGGATGTTGAGACGAATGCACACACACACACATATATATATATATATATATAATATGGATGAATGCCAGGTCCCCGGCCCCGGGGCTCTGGCCCACCCCCAGGACATCCGGGTCACGCCCGTGTTACCCCCCCCCCCCGGGGGCTCCAAGACGGCCCAAGAGGCCCTCGAGACGGCCCAAGAATGTTCCAAGACGGTCCAAGAGGGCCCAGAGTCGCCGAAAGATCGGTCCAAGACGCAAATGATGGCTTCCAGACGACCCAAGACGCCCCCAAGAATCCCCAGAGGCCTCCAAGAGGCCTCCCAAGACGGCCCCGAGAGGCAGAAATTGTTGATTTGTCATTGGTTTTTCCTGTGTTTTTTGGTTTCTCGCTGTTTCCGCTTTCTGAGGCTCCAAGACCGCCCGAGAGGCTCCCAAGACTGCTCCAAGACGGCCCAAGATGCCCCCAAGAGAGTCCCAAGACAGCCCAAGACGCCCCGGATCCGCTCAAGACGGCCCAAGAGTGCCCCAAGAAGGCCCCAAGAGGCGCCCAGGAGAGGGAACACGAAACGAAAAATCGAACTCTCCGCCCGAAGATGCCCCCGTGAGAACCCAAGAAGCCCCCAAGACGCCCCAAGAGGCCCCCAAGAGGGGCCCAAGAGGCCCCCCAAAGGCCTCCAAGAGGCCTCAAGAGGCCCCCACGAGGCCCAAACGAGGCCTCCTTGAGCATCTTTGAGCATCTTGTGAGCCATCTTGAGCCATCTTGAGCAATCTCGGAGCTCATCTTGGGCTCTCTGAGGCCCCCTTGGAGCCGTCTTGAACCGTCTTCGACGATCTGACCGCTCGCGGGGACCCCATTTAGGTCCAGGGGAGATGGTTAGGGGCAGAGGTACCCTCCCTGAAGGGGTAGAGGGAAGGGTGGAGGGAGGAAACGCGCTTAACCACCTACGCACAGAGAGCTGGTGGGATTCTCTTTGCAACTCCTCTCATCCCCTGTTCTGTCAAACGAATGCTCTGCCTGTGCCGCCCTAGAACCTAAGCGCGCGCGAAGCGCGCGCGCGTGGTTCTAGTACATATATATATATATAGATAGATAGAGATACATATGACAGAGGGAATAAGACAGACATAACACATGCAAAAGCAAACGAGGAGCGATGACGTAGGGTGGGCACATGAGATGGAAGCAATACTGCAATACTACTGGGCAGTGTGAGTGGGAGGGGTGCCGGGAGGGGGGAGGAGGAGGGATTCATAATACGAGACGCAGACGATGAGAGATTAGCGCGGAGAGGATATGAGAAGGAAGGTGTCTGGCCGTTGGAGGCTGAAGGGAAGAGAAACGAGGATGATGATGATGATGATGATGATGGTGATGATGTTGATGATGATGATGATAATGATGACGATGACGATCATGATGCTGATGACGATTATGATGATTATCATGACGATGATGCCGATGCTTATGCTGCAGATTAAGATGATGCTGATGATGATGGTGATTGTGATGATGATGATGATGCTGCTGCTGCTGATGATGAGGATGGTGCTGATGCTGCTGATGATGATGTTAATGATGATGATGTTGATGATGATGATGATGATGTTGATTTTGGTGCTGGTGGTGCTGCTGGTGGTGGTGTGGTGGTGGTGGTGATGATGGTGGTGGTGGTGATGATGATGATGATGATGATGATGATGATGATGAGGATGAGGATGAGGAGGAGGTGGAAGAGGAGGGTGTAGCAGGAGTGAGGCGGACGGTGGGAGGTAACCGGAGGAGAAGTCAGGCAGGAGGAAGGAAGAGGGAGAAGGAATAGTAGGAGGGGTGAGGATGATCCGAGAACAGCCGTCTCATTTTTTTGAGAATGAGGCGGAGTGGCGAGAAGGTTCGCGGAGGAACGAGGAGGAGGTGCGACGAGGAGGGAGGAAAAGCACGGAGGGGCGAGACGGAGCGAGCAACAGGGAGTAGCAGCAAGGTGGAGGCATAGAGATAATGATGAGGAGGACAAGGACTAGGAGGAAGCAACGATGAAAGACGAGAAGACGGAATGCTACATAAGGGAGGGAAACAGAGAGGGGGACGGACGGTTAGGTGGATGTAAACTGAGGCAAAGGGGCGGAGAGAGGAAGGTTAAGAGAGGAGGGAGGGAGGAAGAGGATATGTGGAAGGAGAGTCGATGACGGAACATCAGATAGCCAGCAGACGGAACAAGGAGCAGGGACACAACATGGCAGGAGGGGGGGCGGGACGCGGGGCCGAGAGGTGTCCCAGGCCCTGGGTGCCCAGTGACCACCCGTTTGGCGGAGCCGACGGAGCAGCAGGGCGCATGGACTTCCCCCCCTCAGAGATAAGAAAGGGGCCCAGCCGGTTTGGCCGCGGCCCGCGCCGGGCCCGCCCGGCCGCTCCGGGGGCGGGCGGCATGTTCTACGGGAGGCGGTGCCCCGCGGATGCCCCCTACTCCGCCCACGCGGACGAGCTGCACGAGTGGACGCACCACCAGCGGAAGCACCACGAGAGGGTGCAGGCCCCCGTGAAGGCCCGCGCGGGGGGGGGGGAGTGCGGGAGCGGCCCGGCGGCGCGCCGCCGCGGGGCCCCCGTCGGCGCGTGGTGTGCCTCCGGTCTTGCCCGAAGGCCTGGGGCTGCTTCGACAGCAGTCGAAGAAGCAGAAGAAGAAGAAGGAGAAGAAGAGGAAAACCGCCATGAACACAAACTTCTGGCGCTCCGCGCGGACTTCGTGTATCCGCGCTGGGCCCCCCCGGCGGTGCCTCGGACTCCGGCGCCGCCCCCGGCGCGCTCCGCGCAGTAGAGCGCCGATGGGCTCCCTGCGGCGGCGTGTAACCGATACGATCAAGGCGCCGGCTTCAGACCCTTTTCGGCCGGATGGCGATGGGGGGATCAGGACATTGGGGGGATGAGTATCCGGTACCGTTTTGTTGGGGTACAATTTGTACCTTCTCTGCGGGTTGCAAGTACAAATTGTACCTTCTCCCCCCGTTGACATCCTCGCACATGTCGCGGGCGTTGTCAAAAGTACAATTTGTACCTTGTCTGCGTGGCGTCGGTACAAATTGTACCTTCTCCGTGGGGCGTAGGTGCAATTTGTACCTCGGTTGCGCCTCTCTCCGCCCCTGGACTTAACCCCAGGAAGCATTTAAGAACCCCCCCCCTCCGGCAAATCGATAACCCTTCCGCACCCTGGAAGCGTTACCTGGCACCAGGAGCCCTCCTTTGTGTCCGGGTGCGGAAGCTATCGTTCGGTCATTTCGGCCCCTCGGAACATCGAATGAAAGATGCGGTGCTGCGATATCGCCGGGGGGTTATCCCCCCAGCTGCATCCCGCCAGGCCAGCTCGCCGTGGCCAGGAAGGCCTATTCGTTCCGCACTCCGCGCTCCTCCTCCTCCTCCTCCTCCTCCTCCTCCTCCTCGCTCCTCCTCCTCCTCCTCCTCCTCCTCTCCTCCTCCTCCTCCTCCCGCTCCCCTCCTCCTCCTCCTCCTCCTCCTCCTCCTCCTCCTCCTCTCCTCCTCCTCCTCCTCCTCCCCCTCCTCCTCCTCCTCCTGGACTTATCCCCCCAGCTGCATCCCGCCAACCTCTGCGGCTCAGGAGGGGCTCTGCTTCGGGGGCTTGGGGTCCCGAGGTGTGGGTCGTGGGGCCCCTGCGTGGCCGCGGCTCGCTGTGGCCAGGAAGGCCTCTTCGTTCCGCGCTCAACCGCTCCTCTCACTCCTCCTCCCCGCTCCTCCTCCTCGCTCCTCCTCCTCCTCCTCCTCTCCTCCTCCTCCTCCTCCTCCTCGCTCCTCCTCCTCCTCCTCCTCCTCGCTTCCTCCTCCTCCTCCTCCTCCTCTCGCTCCTCCTCGCTCCTCCTCCCTCCTCCTCCTCCTCCTCCTCCTCCTCCCTCCTCCTCCTACTCCTCCTCCTCCTCTCCTCCTCCTCCTCCTCCTCCTCCTCCTCCTCCTCCTCCTCCTCCTCCTCCTCTCTCTCACTTCCCCCAGGTGGTGGACTCGAGCCCGCCGAAGTGCAACGGCATGGCCTCCAGGGCCGTGCAGGAGCAGGGCCGGCGCTTCTGCTACGACCAGAAGAAGGCCGAGATCGGCCGCGAGAACCGCAAAATGGTCGACCGGCTGCAGAGGCCCGCGGCCCGCGGGCCCTATTCGGGGGTCTTGGAATAGACGGGGTCGTTGCTGCTGTGGTTTCCGGAAGTTTGGGGTCGGTCCACCGAGGCGCGGAAGAGAACGGCTTCGGGGTTGAGGCCGGAAAGCCAGAGCGGGGAACAAAAAAAAAGCGACGGGAGCGGAAGCAGAAGTCCAGTTGTGTGCGGCGAGTCCTGCCACCGTGCCAGCCCAGCATGTTGGGTGGCGATTGTTCAAGGGGGCACGGCAGGCTGGCACGTGTGACATTTCGTATCTCTGGCCTTGGGAGAGCCGTGATGATGATAATTTTGATGATGTTGATGATGATGATGATGATGATGATGATGATGATGACGACGACGACGACGATGATGATGATGATGAATATGATGATGACGATGATGATGATGACGATGATGACGACAGCGATGATCATGATGATGGTGGTGGTGGTGGTGAACGATGATAGTGATGATCGTGTTGATGGTGGCGATGTTGATGCTGATGTTGATGATGGCGATGGTAATGATGACGATGTGGTTGGCGGTGTTCATGGTGGCCATGTTGATGATTCTAGTCCGATTGATTATGTTGATGATGGTGATGGTGATTGCAATGATGATGATTATGATGATGCTGGTAATTCTAATGGTACCTGTGATGGTGATGGTGTTGATGATGCTGATGATGAGGATTGCGATTATGGCGACGACAACGACGATAATGAGGCTGATAATGTGACGGCGACATTAATCATGTTGATGCTTATGCTGATGCTGATGCCGGTAATAGTATTGATACTGATGATGTTGATCATACTGATGCTGTTGCTGCGGCTGCTGATGATGATGATGATGGTGATGATGATGATGATGATGATGATGATGATGATGAAGATGTTGCTCATGGTGATGATGACCATGACGATGACGACGACGATGATAATGCTGAAGCTGTTGATGTTGATACGGATGATGATGCTGATGAAGAAGATGATGAGGAGGAGGATGGTGGTGACGATGACGATGATGCTGCTGATGATGGCGATGATGATGATGATGATGACGATGATGATGAGGATGATGTTGATGCTGATCAGGATGCTGTTGATGATGTTGATGATGCTGATGATGATGCTGGTGGTTGTGATGATGATGATGAGGATGATGAGGAGGATTATTACAATGATGCTGGTGATGATACTGATGCTGATGATGCTGATGATGAAAATGATGATGATAATGATGATGATGATGATGATGATGATGGTGGTGGTGATGATGATGACAATGATGGTGATGATGATGATGATGATGATGATGGTGATGATGATGATGATGATGGTGATGATGATGATGATGATGCTGATGCTGATGCTGATGCTGATGATGATGATGATGATGATGATGATGATGATGATGATGATGATGATGATGATGATGACGATCATGATCATGATGAAACTCGTTTGGGCCGTCTTAGGGGCTGTCTTGGACTCCTGTGAAGCAGTCTTGGGGGCCCCCTGGGGCCCTCTTGGGCCGTCTCGTGGCATTCGTGCGCGGGCTTGGCGCTCCCGTGGGCCGTCTTGGGGCCCACGTGGCCGTATGGTGGGCGTCTTGGCGCCGTCTTGGCGCCGTCAAGCGGTCTTCGAAGGCCGTCTTTGGGTCCCACGGGAGGCCCTCTTTGGCCGTCTTGGGGCCGTCTTGGATGCCTCTTGGGCCATCGTGGAGTCGTCTTGGGCCTTCTTGAGCTGACGGCAGCCTGAAGAAACGAGAATTTGAAACTCATTCAAACATATGATTGAATTAAATGATTGGGGTTTCTTCTGACCCTGTTGGAAGTGCTCTTGTGGCCATTTGGGGCCCTCCTGGAGGCATATTGGGCCGTTTTGAATCCGTCTTCGGCCGCCTTTGGGCCATCTTGGGCCGTCTTCGAGGCATCTTGGGCCATCTTGGTGTCCTTGGTTGCCACGCGGGCCGTCTTGTAAGCTCGGGACGCACATCCGTCGTTTTTAGCGAGGGATGGTGGCTTGAAAGGTCCTGGAACGTTTGGGAGCCGCGCCTGAGAATGCGGGAAGTGCACGGTCCTCGAGCGGGTGCGCGTGGGATGATGGGTCTAGGAGTAAGCAGCGATGCGGGAAGTGCACAATCTTCGAGCGGGGGCGCGTGTACCCAGGGTTCAGGCATTATGCGGGAAGCGCACCATCCTCTAGCGGGCACGCGTCGAAAGGGTGTTTAGGCATCAGCTGCCTTGCTGGAAGCGCACCATCCTCAAGCGGGCACGAGGGAAGTGGCCTCGGAAAGGATGGGCGATGCATGCGGCAGTCTACTGGTAGAGGGGGGGGGGGATTCTCATCATAATTCAGAAGACCACACCAGA